AGAATTTAAGCCAACAGGGTGAGTAAAAATTAAGAAAAGGATGATTTGGTTGGGGCATGTCTTACATAGACCAGGTGAGGCCTCATTTATAACAGGGAAGAACAGACCTAAAACTTTTAGTCTCTTGCAGTTACTAATAATTTAGTTGCATTGGATTTTTTGGCGGATGTAGCAATCAAATGAACGGAGTGCCGAAATAATTGATGTAGCCGAGCCCAAATTTAATAAGAATAACACTTGGATTGGCGATGGTGTTCTTTATTGCCCAAAAACTCTTCTATGCAACTTTAACATACAAGGGCAAAAATTTCTATCCTGGTTTTTTACTTTAGTAGTTTGCACAAGGCATACATGTTCACAATATCATTTTCGATTCTTTTTGAATTTAGTAAGAATATAACAAAGCCAGAGCATCATCTTGACGTTTCATGATTTTGATGTACTATGGTGAAAGCATAGAATCTCAGAGCTAAATTCAACACAACAAAATCATTCTCAGGTACATGAAAATATGTGTAAGTTACTAGTATTTATGCCTCATGTTTTTTTGTTGTAAGTAATGCTCACATGTTCACAGTTAGATCCTGCTAGCATCATCAAAAAAAATTTAGATGACGTACTCTAACATGCGTGTTTTGTTTGATCTCTCACTGACTGCCACATATTTCCAAGATTAAATTTGTACATAGTACTGCCCCATTAGCAGACTTACAGAGTGAGAACCCTAACTCATGGTTTAAAAACTATTTGAGGTTACTCATGTGAGGCTATCATAATACAGGTCAAAACCCATGCCTTTTAAGGGCATTTGAGAGGCTTATGCCTCAAGCCTGAGCCTTAAGCCAGCTAAGGTGTTCACCCGTTTGCTTGCATTTTTCCAATATTTAAATTATTGACCTTAGCATTTTGAGTTATTTCATGAAAAGTCTAAAATGGTTCACAGGTTCTTTTATTTTCTTTTTTCTACTTACACAGAAGGAAAATGGGGACGAGAATTATGCATTGCAATTGGAGGATGATGACAAAGAATGAAAAGAAACTTGATACAAATGATTCCTCAAATATTAATAGTGATGATAAATAAATTTTTGAGA